GAAGAAAGAGTTGGGAAATAGTATGGGCACATTTGTTAAGATGTGGGCTCATATTGACAACCTACTAAAATAACGATATACAACGAGCTTCGAGGATGTGTATCGTTGTACGCTCTTGAGAAACTCAAACTTGAGGTGAACAAATCACGCGAGTTGCTTCCGAACGAGTTCATATCTTGTATTTGTGATATCCGAACCACTCATGGATTACCTTGTGCCCACGAGCTTCATGGTAATGTCGTAAATCGCATTCCCATATTATTGGACTGGATAGACCCGTATTGGAAGCACTTGAGCATGGAGCCAATGATTTGTACAAATGATGATACTCTCCCGACTGATATAGAAGAAATGGACGCATGGCGAGCTGTTTTCGATCCGTCCGACGCAAAGAAAAGGGTTCAATTGCTTATGAAATTGCGGGAGATTACTCACCCCGAGAGTAACTCTCTGATTGAGCCAATGCAAAAAGTTGTTACCCAAGGTCGTCTCGAAAAAAGATTGTGTATTGATAAATCAACCAGACGTAACCCATCCAAATTTGAGTACGAGCAAAATTCAAGCAAAGATAGTTGTTCCCTGAAGGTAAATTTTTTGATTTTTTTATCTCATGGTTCATTTTTTGGTTTCAAATGTAGTAATACGCGACATTGGTTAAACAATGTAGATTATGACTCCTGAGAGTTGCGCTCCGCCTAATTCTGGTGTCCAAAAGCTTATACCACAGCTGGTCACTGGTTCAATGGTAACCGACATCTTCAATCGAAGCATCGGTAAATCCACGGTGTTGGAATAACTACCGGTAAGGCCAAAAACTTGTTAAGGCGTGAAAAGATATCAGTAGAATATCGACACTATAGTGTCGATAAAAGCAACAATTTTCGACGCCAAAGTGTCGAAATATGTCACAATTGTCGACATCAATATGTCGATATTTCACTGTAATTTTTTTTTCCATTTTGTATTACTCATTTAACCTTTTTATGTGCAGGTTCAAAAAAAAACCTCCCAAGGATATGTATATAAAACAAATACATCCGAAGTTCCGAAGATACGTGGTAGACATAAAAAATGTTGTATCGGATGGCCATTGTGGATTTCGGGCAGTTGCATCAATGATGGGCTTCGGGGAAGATAATAGGAGTCTAGTACAAAGAGATTTGGTCAATGAGCTCATCATGAATGATGATATCTAAATGAATATCCACAAAGTTCGAGATACGCTTGATGAATTGGAAGCGAGAATGACATGTTCGGTTATACCTGCCCCTTATGAAAATTGGATGTCGTTTCCGAATATGGGACATTTTATTGCGTCTAAATAAAACTTTGTGCTCGTATTGATAACGCAGCTACAATGTCTTACATTTGTCAGTACTAATGTACTAATGAATACTCTAATATAAAGTTCTAGTTCATGAAT